TGCTCCTTACCCCGTTTTCCTGGACGAAGCTCAGCAAATCTGATGAGGTGGGTGGAGTGGCTTGGCAGGGCACAGGTCCAGCTGTGATGGCGACAGGGCAGGACAGGCCACCCCAGCCCATGATCAGAACCTGGGCATTTTGGGCAGCTTTGTGGGGTTGCTGGGCACGAGGTGAGCACTGTGGCTGTGAACAAGTCACGTGTGGGTAGGCCCCGGGCTGGGTGTCCCCAGTGAGTGGCCATCTCCCACCGAGCTCCCTGCTGGCTGCTGTGCCCACTCGCGCTGTCCCACCTGGAGGTCTGCGGGCATCCTGGGAGGTGGCCGAGGCCGTGACTGGCGGGCTCCCGAGCGCTGTGCATTTGGGCGTTTAAGGAGGTGCACCAAGAGGCCTCTGGCTGTGAGGATGAGGGTAATGGAGTGTGTGCGCCCAGCGTCCCCAAGAGCCAGGCTGCAGCCCCGGGTTGTAGGGGCCTCATTAGCCGGTCTTAAGGAGCCAGGCGACCTCAGGCCAGTCCTGGGTGACCCATGGGGACGTCCTAACCCCGATGTCCGAGTGGGGCGGTTCTCACAGGCTACCCGCTCCTCGGGCCAGCCTGACCTCTTCCCGCCCAAGCACAGTTCTGGGTGAGGTGGTTCGGGCTCGCTGGCTGCCAGGCCTGTGAGCCTTCCCCTCATGCAGTTACGAAGTTGGGTGTGACAGGAGTGTTGGCGAGGGTGGCCACGGCTCAGCGCAGGGCCCAGAGCACTTGGTGAGTGGTCTGAGAGGCAGCACCTGGTGCATCGAGCCTCCCTTCCACACTAGAGGTGCAGAGCGCCTCCCAGGCGTGCTGCAGTCCTGCCACGGGGTCCTGGGCGCGTCTTCATGCCAACGAGTCCGGGGACTGGACGGTGGTGCCTTCCAGCTCCCTGCTGTGCGGAGGCCAGGCCTGCTGAGGTCTGAGCCGGTGTGCGTGCCTCCCGCGGCACCAGCACTTGGGGTGGGGGTCCTTCTGTTTCCTGGCTTATTACAAAGGGTCACAGAGGGCCCAGGGGAGCCCCAGATGAAGAAATGCCGGGCAGGACGTTGACCTGGCAAGGAGGGCAGCGGCCAGTGAAGTGGTCTGAGGGGGACACGCATCCGGCCACCGCAGGACCCCAGTTCCCGGTAACAGACACCTCGGTCTCACAGGTCACCCCAGGACGAGCATTTAGACAGTGTCAGGGGTCTGGTGTGTAGCGGTTGAACCAGTCCTGTGGTCCCTGGTGTTCACCTGATGCCAGCGTGTGCAGACAGGCACCCGGGCAGGGGAGGGGGGCTGTGCCGGGCAGGTGGGTGCTTGCAGATCAGACCCAGGGAGCCTCAAGCCATTCAGCTGCGCCTTCCCGGGGCCCGCTGCCTGCGTTTCCTCTCCTGTGGTGCAGGCTGAGCGCCCGGTTTTAGCAGGAGGGGAGTGTCAGGGATCCATCGTCTCCTGGAGGGGTCGGTGGGTGCTGTGGTGTTCTAGCTTGAGCGTCCCACCTGGGTCGGTGTGCAGGGGTGAAGGGCTAGGCACGGGGGAGGCTGCAGAGAGGCCTGCCTCCAGAAACCTCCCTGCTCGCTGCCCGAAGCCCCGCATCCGGCCCTTCCGGGTTTTACGAGAGCCTCTGCCACAGCGCGGCCTTCTGGTGATGGGCCACCGTCCTCACAGGCTGATGCGGGGCACTTGGCACGCCTCCTCCACGGTCTCCCCGGCAGCCCCTGCCGCTGCCGCGAGAGGGCGCGCTGGCCCTGAGGGTCATGTGACGGGTCGTGCCGTATCCCGCGTGCTCCCCGCCGTGTTGTGACGTGCCGCTGGGCCTGTTGTTGGCGCGCGTCCTGTGGGGTGCTCCACGCCTTGCCCACTCGCAGTGCATATTTTAAACCCACGAGCGTCTGCACGCCCGTGAGCCACAAAACTCGGCAGTGTGAGCGTGTGGCCTCAGCGGAGAGCGGGTGTCAGTGCCTCGAGCCGACAGGAGGGTGGCCTACTCGGGCCTGGGGAGCTGCAGAGCAGGAGGGCAGTGCACCCGCAGGTGGGCGGACACTCGGGCAGAAGGCCACCGACGGCCCGCTGGCCCAGGAGCCAGGGCTGAGGAGACCAAAGGCTGGCGATACCAGGGCCCGTTAGAAACCGTACTTGGGATGGGAGCCCGGGCTGTGCACGTGGCTGAGCGATGCTGGAGGGCACAGTCAGTGCCCGGGGGGCTTGTGTGCTTTCTGTGGGACTGTGAGCTGCAGGGCCACGGGTGCCCCTGGGCTGAGGGGTGTGCCAGGAGGTGGCCGGGAGCAGGGCCCGGGCCCGCTCGTGTGCATGTCTGCCCGTCCAGCCGTGCCTGCGCCACCAGCCTGCAGAATGAGGGGTGGGGGGCTGTGTGCAGCGGGGAGGCCTGGCAGAGGCTCCAGAGAAGGCAGTTGGGTCCCACATGGCTGGAGGTGCCTCCCTGAGGCACGCAGGACCTCCTGAGGTGGGATTGGGCTTGGTCTTGAGCTGGGAGCAGGGCTGCAGGTGGGGAGACTGCGCAGTGCTGGCCGACGTCGAGCCTTCTGGACTGTCCTGGCGGTGGCAGCCTGGCTCCCACTGGTGGCTGCAGGCTGGGGCCCAGCTCCGCTCCTCGCGGGCAGTCTGGACGCAGCATGGCCGTTTCTGGGCCCTCGCCCAGCAGGCAGCTGTGCCCGTGGTTCAGCCTTGCGGAGCCCACAGGAGGCTTTCAGGAAGGGGTGGGGCCTCGTGGGGTTGGACTCTGAGGCTCTGCGTTCCTGAAGGCCTTTGAGGAGGGGGAGGCAGGGCCTGGGGGAGAGGTACACTTGGCCCTGCTTGTGCTCCCACCGAGTGGGGCTTCGGACGGCACCCGTGGGTGCGCGCGCTCCCTCCCTCTGCTCAGCGTGTGTGCCCTGTGACGGTTTTTTGTTTTGTTTTGTTTTTGTTTTTGTGTTTTTTTGAGAGACTTTTGCTATAAGGCACACACACTTGCTAAAGAGACAGAAAACAAGAAATCACCGAGGGGATTGGTCACACTGCAGCCCCTTGTCTTCCATTCTCCTCTGTGGATTTGGGCCATGCATGCACAAGTCTGGTGTGTTTCACACCACTGGGTCCGAGACTCAAACTGGCTATGTGGGAATCTAGTGCCTTAACCACTAGCCACCTGCTGGCCCCTACAATTTTTTTTAAAAAAGAAAGAGCCTATAGTTGGCCCCGAGGTCCGCCTTGTGGCCTGGTGGGTAAGGGAGCCGACCTGCTGACTGTCCGCACCCCGGCCTGGAGGCTGGGAGACATTTGGGCACGTGTGCTGTTTGCCAAGCCCGGCAGGGCAGGCAGGGCTGCAGAGTGACCACGCATTAAGGGTGCGCGCTCTGCCTCTCCGCCCCTCTGGCGAGCACATGTGCCTTCTGTCTGCAGGGGTGTGCAGGGTGCTCTGTCGGGCAGGGCACGTGTTGCCAGTCATACTGCTATCATTCTCGGGGACTGAAGGAACAGCCATTTAGCTTTTCATTTAACTTTATTTTGCGATAATGACAGAGCCACAGGAAGTGCAGAGAAATGGGAAGTTCCCGTCCTGCCAAGGTGTGCAGCTGCCAGGGGGGACATCCCGCCCAGGAGCGCAGCCTGCTCCCCATGGCCACACCCACCCTCCTGTCACTGCCCCTGCGCGGGCCGTGCAGCACGGGCCTTGGAGGCTGGCCTGGCTCAGCGTACCCCCTTGAGACCCACCTCACCGTCCCGTATCAGGGAGCAGGATTTGTGGCGGGCCTGCACAGTCCACCGTCCTCAGCTTGCCTCCAGCGTGGGGCTGTTAGAAAGCCGCTTGAATACTCGCGCGTGTGTTCGGGTGGACACTCGGCCTCGTTTCCCTGGGGCAGGTGCTCAGAGGGCCACTGGGTCTGCAGTAGTGAAAGGACACTCAGGAGAGGGCGCCTGGTCCCGTTCCACAGGAGGCCACAGGAGTGGCTTTTGGGGAGCTCCCGTGGAGGGGTCCTCCCGTGCTGCAGAACCTGGGCCAGGTGGGGACACTGCCCCAGCTTTCTGCGTGGGCCTCTGGTCACAGGGAGCGCTAGGCGGGTGGTTCTACTAGAAAACCCCGAAGTCTGGCATGCTTTAAAGGCTGCAGTGGTTTAGAAGAAGCTCGGGTTCGAGCATGAGAAGAGCAGTCTGGCGAGGTGGCCTGGCCTCCTCTAGGGAGGACAGAGGCCTGTGGAGGCCCTGCCAGGCTGCTTCCAGGGCCACGTCCTTCAGGTCGACTGCCTGTCCTGACACACTCGGCACACGCCTGCACAGCCCTGGCCTCAAAGTGCTCTCTTCGAAGGAAGGAGAACCTGCAGGCTGGGGGTGTCCAGGCAGACCCCACAGTCCTCTGTGGCAGAGAGGTGGACTGTAGCGGGGGCCCCTGCCCAAGGGCGGGCGGGTGCGGTGGGCGGTCCGCGAGCTGCACCTGCAGCCCCTCCCCTCTGCTCTCCAGTCCCCAGCGTGCTTTCTATTCAGAATCAGCAAGAAAGAAGAGCCCCACATTGCCACTTCTGAGCTGTGGCAGGGCCCGCAGTGCCCCTGCTCAGTCCCTGCCACGGAGCACGCGGGGCTCGCCTGGACACCCCCGGCCCACACGTTCTGCCTCCGTGGAGGAGAGGAGCCTTGCAGGACGGTGCAGGTGTGTGCCGAGTGCACATCAGGTTGGTCAGTGGCAGCCACAGGCCCACGGAACCCATGTCTCGTCTGAGGGTGCTCTGCCTGCTGGCTGGCGAGGGTGTAGGGCCCACTGCCTTCAGCGCCGCTCGGGGTAACTCATCAGGACGGGAGGAGCGGCCCCCCCGAGATGAGGAGTGGCACCAGCCAGGGCTGTGGACTCACAGGTGTCCTGGCACACAGGCACCTGCCTTGGTCCCGGTGCGGCTGCTGGGCCGTGTGGGCGGTTCCTCCTAGTCTGGGCTGAGTTGTGCTGTCGGTTTGAGGCGTGCCATCTGTGACAGCGTGACCACGGACACGTCTGAGGGAGGCTGCCCTGCGCTCCGCTGTCCCCTGACCTGTGGCGTCTCCCTTGGTTTCCGCAGGACACGATGTTTCCACGGGGACTGAAGAGGAAGTGCATGGACGCTGGAGAGGACGGGGAGGGCGCACCGGCTGGCCCGAGGCCGCCCCCCCACAGTCTGCAGCGGCAGTCGCTCCTGGACATGTCCCTGGTGAAGCTGCAGCTATGCCACATGCTGGTGGAGCCTGACCTCTGCCGGTCGGTGCTCATCGCCAACACGGTGCGGCAGATCCAGGAGGAGATGACCCAGGACGGCACGTGGCACGTGGCGGCGCCCCAGGGTGCAGGGTTCGACCGCCTGATCTCCACCGAGATTCTGTGCCGAGCGACACAGCAGGAGGGCGAGTGGCCTACTCCTGGCCTGGGCGATGCCCACCCCCAGGGCCTAGTCTCCGAAATTCCCGCAGGGCCCTCAGCACAGCCACCGGGCAGCGTCTGGGAGACGGACAGCCCTTGCCAGGACAGAGGCAGCGTCCAGAAGTCGCTTGGCCAGATCTTCGACACGCTGGGGCACAGGCATGCAGGCCCCATGGGAGAGCTGCTCCCGGACCTGGACGGCCCCTACTACGACCTGGACGCCGTGCTCACGGGGATGGTGGGCACCCCACCCGGCCGCGGCGAGGCCCTCGAGGGCTTTGCCCCGGCCCCTGGCCCTGGCTGCAAAGCCGAGCTGGGCGAGCTGGACCATGTGGTGGAGATCCTGGTGGAGACCTGAGCCGTGTGGCCCGCGGGGCTGCAGACAGGGCCGGGGCCTGGGCTGCCCACACACAGCTGTGTGGTCCTGGCAGACGCAGGGCAGCTGTCCCGGAGCATGCCCCATGAGGGTGGCCAGCCAGAGACGGCCTCGGCGGGCTCGGCCTGGGCCCAGCGTCCCTCTGTGTCCAGGCCACAGCCACTGTGGAAAGTGGTAGCCAACCTCATTTAAATTTAGATAGGCGCATTTTATATGTTTTGTAATATTTTATCTTAAGATATATTTTTCCAACTTTTTATACTTTACTTCTCTAGATTTTTTCAGCTATTTTCTTTAAAGTATATTTTTTCTATGAACATTCTCTGCTGCTCCCTGAGAACGTCGATAGCCTCACCACCGACTGGGTCAGGTTTGTCCCCCGAGGTCTGAGCACGAGGCTTTCACAGCCAGCCTCACGGCGTGGGGTTTTACCCCGGACATGCGTGTGGCCTCTGTGCTCCCAGCACAGAACCGTGCGGTGGCTCTGTGTTCCGTCACTAGAAGACCTGCGTGAGCCTTGCCTTCTGCTCCACATGTAAATGGGGTTATTTGTGTGGAAACGCCACTGGGGTGCGAGTCAGGTGCTCCCTATTGGGCGCCGTGGCGCAGTTGGGTGGCTCGTCACCTCGCCACCTGTCAAGCCCCGCCAATGCCTGCTCTGGGTGCGGGTTGCACCTGCCGTGGTGCGTTGGGACCGTGCGGGTGCCAGTGCTGCTGGGTCCCAGGTGTGGGCGCCCGCTCTGTTAACGTTAAATTTAAGTCTGGGCAGAAGAGAGTCAGTCTGACTCACAGCCCTGAATCCCGAGGGCCACTGCTGCGGGGCATGAGCTGGGCCTGCGGCCTGAGTGCCCGTGAGGCCTGTCCTGAGGCTAGGCTCCTGCCCCGCGCCCACCCCATGCGCCGTGGCTGTACCCCCGCTGTACCCATTCTCGCCAACGTTCTGCCCCTTTTAATAAACACCCCACTTCATCGCAGTTGCCCCGGACCACAGGGGTGTGCCGCCCACTGCCCACAGTGTCCGAGTGACGGCTTTGCCTGACCCAGCCCGGCCGTGCCGCCTAGCGTGGGGAGCTGGCCTGGGGGTGTCTCCATGTGACCCTGCAGCCACGGGTTCCACAGCAGCGTTTCTGCCTCTGGCCTGGTTGCCACAGGGTGCCTGGGGAGACCGTGAAGGGAAAGCCCCCTGGGCACAGCCACTCTGCACCCCTCCTGAACTCCCTCCTGTCGGGGCCTAGGGCCTGCACACACTGGCTGCCTGTTTTGAGCTGTCAGGGTTAGGACTTAGAGTTAGATGGCCAGTTGTTGGGCCCCAGCTATGTATCCTAGGCCGGGCTTGCCGGCTTCTCCAGCCCGCACGGCCCGACCCGTGCCTGAGAGCCGTCTGAGCACGTCCAGTGTTCTTGTCAGAGCGAGCGTGTACTTGGCGGAGAGGGGAAGGAAAGCAAGAAGCATCCTTCTGTGGGTGGCGGGTCCCCTGTAACCCTCTCTCCGTCCCTCCCAGGGTTTTGGACGTGCGTGCACAGTGCCTAGTGTGTTTCTCAGGCCGCGGGTCCTACTCAGCCCTGTGGGATCCAGCTGCTTCAACCACCGTGTCAGGCTGGCCCAGTCCTGGCCTCTTTGAAGCAGTTTCTGCTGGATCCTCTCACAGCCCCCCTCCTTATGGGACAGCACTGCTCTCTGCCGACGGCCCGTGTGCCTTCCGTGTGCGAGAGCTGGGCTGCGGGGAGCATTCCAGAAAGGGGGCACCCTCCAGGGGCCAGGCGTCAGGAGCTGAGCTGTCTGTCCCGCAGCCTGGCTCCGTCTTAGGGCCCGGGAGTCCTCTGCCCTCCATCCCCTCCTGCTCTGTCCTGGAGGCCTTCCAACCTGCTCTTCTGTGAGGCCAGGGATGGGCCCTCCGGTCCTGTCGTGAGGAAGGCTGCCCCATCTGGGCTCCCTTTTCCCGTTCAGTAAGGAGCTGAGGGCACCCGGGAGCCCCTGGCTAGTGTGGCTGGCACCTCCCAGCCACCTGGACAGCTGCTCAGCTCAGCCTCTTCAGGCTGCTTGGTTTCGGTTTTGGTTTTGGTGAGAGATTTTGCCATAGGGTGCGTGCGCTTGCTGGAGAGAGAGAAACACCACCCCCCATGGCCTCTTGGGAGTGCAGCGCACACACACACTCACCTAGCCTGGGTGTTAAGCCGCCGGGTCCAGGCCTTGAACCACGGTCGACTATGTGGGAGTCCAGCGACGTAACCATTATGCCATCTGCTGGTTCCTCAGGCTGCTTGAGGCTGGGCTGGTGCTGGCCTTGGGTAGGGGTGGCCCTCAGGACCAGGCACTGCAGCGCTGGGGGTGGAGCGGGAGGGAGCAGAGGGGTCCTGTGCTGGCTGGGGCTTGGCTGGGTAGCCCGGGTACCGTCTGCTGAGCTGGGGCTCGATGGACTCAGTCTTGGACTCATTCTTACGACCGACCTGTCGAGCAGGCCACCAGCTCCTGGTCCAGGGGGTCTGGGCAGCAAGGGTGGAAACTGTGAGGGCCACAGGTCAGGACCATGGCATAGCTCCGTCTCCACCCGCAAGGGCCCTGGACAGCGCCCCAGGACGACTTGTGACAAAAGCAGTTCCCAGCTCTGCCCTCTGCTAGCTGAGACAGAGATCAGGGCAGAACCCACCAGAGATGTTCCTTTCATTTGGTGTCTCAGAGCCACATGTGACCAAGGGCCACATCGCCCCTTCTCGGGACAGCAACTATCACTGCACTGCCCCTGCTGTACACAGGACACTGGACAACTGGTGTAGCCGGGCCTGGGCCGACCTCCGCTCCACCCAGCACCCGGCCTCCCCCATGCACAGGATCTCAGGCATCAGTCCCCACGGGGCCAGTGAGCCGGCAGGAACACGGCTTTACAGACAGCCTGGCCTGCCCTTGGAAGAGCATGGCTTTGTCAGCAGGTAACTAGGAAAGGGCACTCCTGGTCACAAGAAAGGCACAGCCTGGCAGCTGCAGGCACAGCAGGACCAAGCCAGTGGGTGCCTCGCTCCCGTGCCTCCTTCCCAAGCCTCCCACGGGGGTCCCAGGGGTGGCACAGGCAGGACAGCCTCCCCAGCTCCCAGTAACACCTGGGCCGTCAGGGTCCCTCACCAGGCACCCTGCCCGGGGTCGGCAGCACCAGAAACCTTCCATGGGGACTGGCCCTGTGGAAGGACACAGCCTCCTGCCCTGACCAGTCCTGATCTGGGCCAGGGTGCAGGAAGGGCGCACTGCCGGGCTGGGCCCTGGGAGCTGGCTGGGGCTGGGTGACAGCACAACCACACATCTGACTTCTCATAGGACAAACCGGCAGGAGGCACAGGGCAGGGCCCCCGCCGGAGCGAGTGCTGCTGCTGTAGAGGGCCAGTTTCAGGCCATGCCCAGCGAGCGCCTCCTTCCTGGGCCCTGCGGTGTGCTGCCTGCCCCCAAAGGGGCTTGGCAGGAGCAGTCTGCAGGGGACTGGCCTCCCCTGCCTGCTGCTGGGCATCCCTGGGAGCTGATGGCAGAAAGCAGGGGCAGGGCTGGTACCGCCATAGCTGCCTGGCCCGTCCCTCGGCCCTCTCCTTCATTGTGGGGTTCCAGAGCAAGGGCCGGAGAAGGGCGCAGCCCACGAGATGCCAGTGCCTGCTGGAGCCCTCCTGCAGCGGGGAGCCGCCCAGCTCCCACAGGACTACAGACCTGCCCGTGCCCCCTCAGCTGGGTCTCTGCCCCACGTAGTGTCCATGCCCTCGTGGAGGCTGCCCATGGCCCCCGCAGTGTCCGCACCAGCTGGTGCCCTGCACTCACTTGCACAGAGCCAGGTCCCAGCTGCCCCTGGCCGAGGGACCCCCCTCCCCAGAGGTCATGTCCCAGGGTACCACACCACCTGGCTGACCCTGACCGGCCACTGCCCCAGCTGTGCTCAGATGCCCTCCCTTCCTGCCACAGGGAGCACAGCCCTGGCCACGGCCACGCTGGTGACACCACTTCGAGAACAGTCCCAGCCGGCCTGCAGCACAGGGGTTAAGTGCTGTGCACAGGAAGCCAGAGCTCATATGGCCAACTGTTTCAAATCCTGGCCCTGGCAGCTTGAAACACACCGGGCACGAATGCACCACTGGGGTGCCCCCCTCTGGTGAGCACATGTGTTGTCGGCAGAACATGAGACAGGATAGCGGGTCCCGCATGGACACCGTGCGTGCCACTCCCACTCCCTGTGCAGTGAGTCGGGGAGGCACGTGCTCGGGTAGGGCCCAGGCCAAGCAGGAAGCCAAGGCAGCTGCTCGGCCACCTCCGTCCTCCAGCCGCGGACACGGTGGGCAAGAGAGCCACCCCCAGGAGCCGGCTGCAGGAAGACGGCACGCCTCGGTGCCTCCCCAAACGCAGAGGGCAGGAAGCTCAGAGAAGTGGGGTGACCCTGCAGGAGCCTCCTGTGGAACCCCACCCCTCCACACTCCAGTCAAGGCCTTGCCTGCTGCTTCCTGCAGCTCCTCCCCCAGCTCTGGGGCCCTCCGAGCCTCAACTCCCAGTGGCCCTGCTGTGCAGGTGGCACGAGGCCCCTCCCTGGCAGCCACTCACCTTGGTCTGGATCCGCACTGCAGTGGTGCAGAGGGAAGCTGCTGGTGGGGGCAGCTCCTCCAGTGGTCCTCACGGTGGCCCTGGTCTCCGGAGGGTCTGAGAAGACGAGCCCATCAGCTGGACAGGGTCTCCATTCCCTTCCCAGATGCCTCCTCATTCCCTCTCCTCCGCGTCCTCAGTGATGTGCCAGCACAGCATGGCCAGGGGCCGGACTGCACAGAGGTCTCCCTGATGCCTCTCCTTGGGAGATCTCTGCGTCCTGAGCCTGCAGGTCCTCTGGGACGGGCAGCACCCACAGTGAGGGTGTCTGGTGTCCTTGCTGCTGTGGCCTGGCTGCTCCCTGCCTTGATCTGCTCCGGGCTTCAGGGCGTCCTCCTGGGGCCTTGACACGTGTGTGAGCCCCTCCTATGGCCAGGTGCCCACACCCCTACCTGACCTACCTCACCTGTATGCTAGTTGCCCCACCCTCCGCCCTGCCCACAGGACACTCTGCCCCCCTTTCCCCTTGGCTGCCACAAACACTTCTCTTATGGGGTGGGTGCCGGACAAGGGGCACCCAGCCACCCCCCCCCAGCTCATCCCAGCAAGGGCCCAGGGGTGCCCTCAGCGTGAAAACAGCTCTCAGGAGCCCCTCTGCTCATGCTGCGTTACCAGCCAAGTGACGTCTGCCGAGAACAAGGAGTGGGACCCACTCCAGAGGCATCGCGAGGTGGCCATGGTACTTGTGTTCTGGAGAAGACAGGCTGGGGGCGCAGCCTGGCACGCCCCAGTGCTTCAGAGCAGGCCAGCCTCATTTCGCTCTAGCCCAAAGGTATGCCTGGCCTGGCACGTGCCCAGCCCTGCTGGGTCCCAGTGTCCAGGCCTCCACATGGCCCTGAGACTTGCACTGTGGGCTGGATGTCCCGGGACGTCAGCACTGCCGCTCCTCGCCCCTGCCTGGCCAGCAGGCTGTCCTCTTGCTTCTCTCCAGGAGCAGCACGTATGAAGGGCGTGTTGCCCACCTAGGTCCAGGCCTTGGCCTGCAGGTCCCCAGGGTCCTGTGGAGTGTTCCCTGGGCAGAGTCCAGAAGGGCCTCAGACACACCCACAGCCACCACATGCAGCCCGGACTCCTTCCCAGCCACCTGGACACCTGCTCCGTGGAGGGCACCTGCCCACACCAACCTCACTGCCGTCCCCAGAGCCCTGGGCCAGCAGGTTGCAGCCCTCACCCACGACCCTGCAAGCCGCCGAGGAGTGAGAGCTTCTTTTCCGATGGCAGCTGCAAGTGTGTCCTTAGCAAACGGCCGCCTGCAAAGCACTGTCTGCGATCTTGGGCCTCAAGCTGCAGCCCAGGACCCTGGGAGCCACCAACGGCCGGGAGCCACCAACGGCCCGGAGCACCAGGGGCCTCTCTACTCAGGGTTTGTTTTCTAGAACCCCATGGCTGAGGTACAAGGCCCTGACCACTGCCCAGGCCCGTCAGTCCCTTCTGCCCTCCCCAGCACTCATCCCGAGGTGGGTGGTGCTGCATCCAGGGAAGGAGGGAGGCCCTGAACAGGGCTCAGGGAGGAGAGGCAGGGTCTGGACAAGAGATGGGGTCTCTATGGAGGTAAGCCTGATGCACCACGTGCGCCAAAGGGCAAAGGCAGGGCTGCCAGGGGAGAGGTCCCACTGAAGCCCCACCACGGGTGCATAGGCTTCTCTTCTCCGCTCATGCCCAAGGAAACGTCCAGCTTTGGCCAGTCCTCAGCCGCATCCTGCACGGGCACTTCCTCGGATGTGAACTTGAAGATGTTCTCAAGGCTGAAAACGGCTGGAAAGGAAACTGACCAGGGAGATAGGTACACCCCTTACCCGGCTCTGCAGAGCGGCGGTGCTCACAGCCTGGGCTGTCACTGCATGGCCATGCCAAACCATGCAGCCAGGGGGCCTGGGAGAGCCGGCTCGGCTTGCACTCCACCAGGGACACACGGAGGGCACAGCCACCTAATGGCGTCTGCACTGTCCCCATCCCCGGAGGGGAGGCCCAGTGCACTGTGGGAAGCGGCAACCCACGCTAGGAAAGGCCTGGCCGGGGAGGAGACTAAGGCCCAAGTGCCCCCGGGGTGCAGCAGTTCCTGCCACCGCTCTCTGGCACAAGGAGGCTGATGTGCTGAGAGCCTCTGCAGGAGTTCAGGAACTGGGGCAACTGCCCTGACGTGCCAGAGGGGCCGGAGAGCCCTCGAACTGCCCCCAAGCGCTGCTGCAAGCTGCCCCCGGCCCCTGCCCGCACAGCATCCGGGGCCGGGAAGCACAGCCCCGGCGGGAAGCCGCTCAGGAGACGTGCGCGCCCTGTCAGGGCTCGCGGAACTGCCCGGGCCCTGCGCTGGCGGGATGCGGC